GAAAGAGTATTGAATGTGGCTCTTTTAAAATCTCAGGGCTAGGAAGAAGGAGACGTTACTGGTGCCTGTTCAAGGCAATCAACGAACAACAGGATGATCTTGATCCTGATCATGAAATAGAACATTTTACCTCTCATGTTCCGTATCAAACAAAAAGTGACTAGTTGAATTCATGATTCATTAAAACAGCATATGAAAAACTGCTTTTCTCTTACATATGTCACAAAATCACCTTCATAGCAAGATTAATAAATGTACTATTGCAATGCTTTATCTTATTTTAAGAGAAGGTTAATCAAAAGATCACAAGATAGAGAGTTGAGGAAATCTCATGAAATAGGCCACATTCTCTGTGAGGTCAATTTTGACTATATTGATTCTTGGGTCTTGAGTTGAATTATTCAGGAACAACCCTAAGCAGTGATCACAAAGCACATCAAATTAAAACGCCCCAAAAATCAAATATCTGAGTGACTTTATCAGAACTGGTAAGCATCACATTTCAGATCAAGACATTTATAGAGTTGTTCTATATGTATTTTTTTAAACTTTTCTTAACAAGCTTGAATCAGTATGGAAATCCTAAAAGTAAATGTCTCCTAAAAATGTTAGAATTAGTACTCACACAAGCCCTACCACAATAATATGTTGGTTGGGTTTTGTTTGTTTTTTTTTTTTTTTAGTTGTTGTCTTTGTTTTTAAGAATCTATGGAAGTGTGGTCTCAGGACTATAAACATCTGAATGAACACATAATTATTAGATGTGTAGAGCTTAGACCCAACCTCATGACTGTGAAAACAAAATTTCAGAGGTTGGTTCTGGAAATCTACATTTTCAATAATTACCCTATTACTCATTTTTCTCAGTAGTTTGAAAACTTTGGCCAGAAGACTGAGCACCTCTCCCCCACTAAATATATTTGTTCCTTTTTTTTTCTTTTGCATTTTGGGTCACACCAGGCCATGCTCAAGGGTTATTCCTGGCTCTGCACTCAGGAATTACTCCTGACCATGCTCGGGGACCATATGGGATGCTGGGAATCAAACCTGGGTGGGCCGTGTGCAAGGTAAACGCCCCACCCGCTGTGCTATCACTCCAGCCCCTTGTTCCATTTTATAAATCTTAAGCATAGGTGTTTGTCTACAGATTTGATGATTCCTTTAGCTAACATAAATGATTCCATTAAAAATTGTGCATGATTCCATTAAAAATTGTGCATTTTGTTGTACAAATATATATATATGTTTGCAATATATATATATATATATATGTTTGTAATATACATGTATATGTCTGAAGTAAGCAAACTAAGATTTTCTGGAAAATACTGAAAAAATCTGAGAACAAATTAAAAAGGAATTCTCAGGGAAAACAGAACTCCATTAGCCCTAAACTGGTCAACTATGTGTCAGACTGTGGACAGATGGTGACTAGATAGAACAGATACCTACCTTTATTTTTTTTTTTGCTTTCATGCGTTTTAAACTGTTTAATTTACAGACATAAATGTGGGATAATTTTAAAAACAGGTGATATGTTAGACAAAGCCTGTGACCTTTATATACAAAGATGAAAAATGGGTAACTGAGCCCAAATCTGAGCTATGGAGCAGCTGTCATAAGAGGGTTGTGTGATCGTGAACCATTACTACAGAGACCCCAAAGTATTAACAGAGTTTTACAATTTATTTTAAGATTTAAATCAGTAGTCAGAAAATAGACACACAAAATTTTATGAAATATTATTATAATAAAATATGAAATACTACTTTCAGGACACAGGGAGAGAGAGTCTGTAGTGAATAGGATGCTTGCTTTGTGTGTAATCAACTGGTGTTTAACTCTCAGCACCCCATGTGGTACCCTGAGGTCCACCAGGAGTGATCCCTGAGAACAGAGCCAGATATAAGCACTGAGCACTGCGAGATTTGGCCCCCAAAACACTAGTTATCTATCTCTCTATCTATGTATGCCTATACATATAGCACTCTCCTCCCGTTGTTCATTGTTACTGTGTTTGGCATATCAAATACGTTACAGAGAACTTGCCAGGCTTTGCCCTGCGGGCAAAATACTCTCTGTGGCTTGCCGGGAGCTCCGAGAGAGGCGGAGGAATCGAACTCGGGTTGGCCTTGTCAGCCGTGTGCAAGGTAAACACCCTACCACTGTGCTATCGCTCCAGCCCTTTGTCCATATATAATATATATATATATAAAACTCTTTCGAGAATTAAGTTAGAATAGTGTCAAGACAGAAATAAGTATAATGAAGGGCTTCTGATTTGTGTTACATAAAGAATTACTTAAGTAATCAAAACTCAACTGCCTAGGAAAACCGAGATTACAGTATTTGCTTAGAGTATGAAGAAAAAAGCCTTATAAAATATCTAAAGATTGTGGACTTTTGGAAGAAGATATAACTTACTTTTTAAGATAGCTCTAAGGGGATGGTATGAATAGGCTTAAAATGATAAACATTTCTGGAGGAAGAATTTCAAATCAATATGATAAAAATCATGAGAGTTGTAGAAAAATGGACTGATTGGAAAGTGATGCGCTCCATACAACCAAAAGTGATCAAAAATAGGCTAAAGATTGGAGTTCATGCCCAAAGCAATCAGCTAATCAGTGGCTGAATAAATAGCAATACTCCTACACACACACCAAAAAAATAGGCTAAAGAGAGAGCTGGTATAATGACTGGAGAGATAATCTCTAAAGATCCTTGTAGATTTTTTAAAATCAGACACACAAATACACTTCCTCACACTTATCTCCCTCAAAGCACTATCACCACCAAAATGGCCTCTTGACTGAGTACTGCACAAGCTTTGAAAAATTCCAGAGAAACCTGAACAGTCATTTGGGAATTTGGGCTAAAGTGTGTCTTCATCTGTAAAGGTCCATACATGTTTTAAGGGGAAGAAATTTTAAAAAATGGACACACTAATATTCATTTGAAATCTGTGACTATGACCTAGCAGTATTTTAGCAGTTACGCATTAAATAATTATAGCAGCTTATTAAAATAATTTCTACATTTTAACAACAACAACAACATTTCATCTGGATTTCACTAGGTTCCCAACCATTGGCATGCCAATAAATAGCAAAACTTTTTAGCAAAATGTGACTTGGCTTCTCATTGGTTTGTCTTCTTAATACAAACCAGGGGCCCAGAAAGATAGTTTCCTTATTATAAAACCTGACAGAAAAATCACGTCATTTTATTATTTGTGCTAAGGAGACCATATGCAGTGCAGGGGATTAAACCTTGGTCGGTGGCATGCAAGACAAGCACTCTATCTGCTTATCACTCTAGCTCTAAGAAATGACAACATGAAACCAACAGCTACAGAGCTGCCCCTCCATATTGACAGTAAATCAGAAGTAATTTCTTACCTAAATCAGAGCTTAATTCATTAGTTCACATTACTTTGCACAAGTTCAATTCAATTTTGTAAAATGCAATAACACAATCTTCCAATGTAATTGTCTTCATTGAAAGTATTTAAAAACATTTGCTAAGATGCATTCCTCTTTTCTGTCAGACAGGATCAACATCAACTCAACAGCTTGGAAGACTACGTTCTGACTAATTTCAGAGGCTGACATTTTAGGAAATAATTACTTCTTACAAGGGAGAAATTTGTGCTTGAAGTAGGTAACAAAAGCAACACTATAAATAAGGGCTGTGTAACTCATCCATAGCTGGAGAGACAGCTCAAAGGGCTGAAAGACATGGGTTGCATGTGGGAAGTCAGGTTTGATCTCTGACATGATAAGGTTCCCTGAGCACCACAGGGAGTAAACCCCTGGGATCAGAGCCCTAAGTACCAGAAGTAGTAGTTTTCAAGTGTGGTTCAAATTTAATTGATTAGCTAACTAAGCAAATAAATATGTATAACTTTACAATTATGCCTTACAAGCTGAGATGTATAATTTACATTCTTCAGAACTGGAAATATTTCAAGCTGGATGATGGTCTATATTAATTTTAATCCACTAAGAGAAATTTAGAACTCAGAGAAGGGATTTTTTTAAATAGCGAGATTTTGTCATGAAAATGCCACCCCATGTCGCTATAACTCCGAAAAATGATGATGGTTAGTTCCCTTAAAATAATCAGGAGGAAATAGCTGGTTTGCTTTGAAGGCATTTATTTCAATAGCTCTTACACACACACACACACACACACACACACCCTGAGTTTTAGTCCAAATAAGGTTATTTTCCATTTTCTTTTGATTATCAGAAAATTAACTCACATTTTTTCAAACTAACTTTTTAAAAGATCATGTACTAATGGTAAGTATGTTTTGAAAGCATTTTGTGGTAGATAAGTAAGCAACATTCAGTAAATGAGCGAGACATGTAGAACTCAATTCCATCTCATTTTACTTTTAATTCCTTCCTCTCTTGTTAAATTCCTTGCTGTGATTAGGCCTTTGCTTTGTGAGATAGCCAGTTTTCCCCTTAACACCATTCACAAAATTAATTTCGCTTATGCCCTAGGTCACAAAGAACCCTATTTTTCTAGTAGTAATAGTTTCACAGTTTAAATTTCTTATGTAAATGACATCCTTTGCTCCCTTGAAAATCAGTTCTGGCAGTATTAAAATCAAGGTAACAAAACATCTAAAGAGCTTCAAATACTCAACATCAGAATTCATGTGCCAGAAATAAATAGTGCATTATATGAGAAAGAAAATACCCAAGTCACAGAATTCAGTAAGGCAATGGGACTACAAGATGGAGGTCAATTAGCAAGGAGATTGCATGCGGCCTCACGAGAAGGATGGCACTGTTTCTCAGCATTCATGAACTGAAGCGTTAATAAGTCATTTTCAGAACTCAATGACCTTGTTGTGCCATAGAGATAGCTCAAAGGGTCCAGGGCCCTGGATTAAATTCCAGGCACCACATAACCTCTACAGCACTGTCGGGTGTAGTCCTATGCAGGTTCAAAAAACAAAACAAATAAAAACTCAATAATCTTACCTTATAAACTTGTCCATATGTTCCATTTCCAACAAGTTCCACCAATTCAAAGATCCCTGCAGGGTCCTGAAAGAAAAAAAAATAGCATAAAGACTCAAAATAAAATTAAAGGCATTGTTAAATTATGGAATCAGGTCTTCAAAGATAGATGAGTGGATCATGAATATGTAATATGTGTGTGTGTGTATATATATATATATATACATATATATATAGCACTGTATATATATATGTATATATATATATATATATATATATAGCACTGTAGCACTATCCTCCTGTTGTTCATCGATTTACTCGAGCAGGCACCAGTAACGTCTCCACTGTGAGATTTATTGTTACTGTTTTTGGCATATCAAATACACTAAGGGGAGCTTGCCAGTCTCTGTCGTGCGGGCAGGACACTCTCTGTAGCTTGCTTTGAGAAGGGCAGAGGAAACGAAACCGGGTGGATGGCTCGCGAGGCAGACACTATATAGTGGAATACTATGCAGCTGCAAGAGTTGGCAAAATTATGCAATTCACTGCAACTTAGATAGAATGGGAGGATAGCATGTTAAATGAAGTATACCAGATAAAGAAGTAAAATCACAGGATGATCTCACTTATCTGTGTTATACAGAATAACTGAACAAGGGGGTGACGGGTATTAAAGGGAAAATAACTCTATGACTCTTATCCCTAGAATATAGAAAGTGAGAATGACAGAGAGGGAAAGAAATCAAAGAGGGTAGCAAGAAGCAGTCAACAGGAAATAATGGGGACAGGGGTTCAAGGGCCTTTGTACATTGATGGTGTTAAAGGAGATCTGAAGCACAAAAACCATATTTTAAACTGTGTCGGTCAAGGTGGCAGAATGGGCAGTGGGTTAGGGAAGAGGGATGTAGTTGGGAGAAAACCTGGGGAATACTGGTGCGAAGTTAACACTGGTGGTGGGACTGGTGCTAGAATATAGTATGCCTAAAATACGACCATGAATGACTTCATAAATCACTGCATCTTAATGAAATATATATATTTAAATTTTTTATTAGTGAATCACCATGGGATACAGTTAGAGACTTACAAACTTTTGTGCTTGCGTTTCAGTCATGCAATAGTCAAGTACCCATCCCTCCATCAGGGCCCTTTTTCCACCACCAATGGTCCCAGCATATCCTCCTACCACCCCCACTGTGTCTGTTCCACCCCACCCCGCCTCTGTGGCAGGGCATGCCCTTTTGCGCTCTCTCTCTCTCTCTCTCTCTCTCTCTCTCTCTCTCTCTCTCTCCTTCTCTCTCCTTTTGGGTGTTGTGGTTTGCAGTAGAGGTACTAAGTGGCCATCATGCTCAGTCTATAGTCTACTTTCATCCCGCATCTCCCATCCCAAGCAGGGCCTCCTATCACACTTTACTAGGAGGTCCCTTCTTTATCTGAGCTGTCTTTTTCCCCAATGTGAGAGGCCAGCTTCTAAGCTGTGGAGTAATCCTCCTGGTACTTATCTCTACTGGTCTTGGGTGTTAATCTCCCATTCTGTTACTTTATATTCCACAAATGAGTTCTATGTCTGCCCCTCTCTTTCTGACTCATTTCACTTAACATGATATTTTCCATGTTGATCCTCCTATATGCAAATTTCACGACTTCATCTTTTCTAACAGCTGTATAGTATTCCACTGTGTAGATATACCAAAGTTTCTTTAGCCAGTCATATTTTCCCGGATTTCTCGTGTTGGAGCGATAGCACAGTGGTAGGGCGTTTGCCTTGCACACAGCCAACATGGCCGACCCGAATTCGATTCCTCCACCCCTCTCGGAGAGCCCAGCAAGCTACCGAGAGTATCTCGCCCACACGGCAGAGCCTGGCAAGCCACCCATGATGTATTCGATATGCCAAACACAGTAACAACAAAATCTCCAATGGAGATGTTACTGGGCCCGCTCGAGCAAATCAATGATCAACGGGAGGGCCTTTACTTTTACTTTACTATTTTCTCAGGCACTTGGGTTTTTTCCAGATTCTGGTTATTGTAAACAATGCTACAGTGAACATATAAGTGCAAATGTCATTTCTATTATACGTTTTGCATCTCCGGAATATATTCCCAGAAATGGTATTATTGGATCAAATGGGAGCTCAATTTCTAATTTTTTGAGAAGCATCCAAACTGTTTTCCAAAGGGCTGAACCAGTTGGCATTCTCACCAGCACTGAAGGAGTCCCTTTCTTTCCACATCCATGCCAACACCAGTTGCTTTTGTTCTTTTGGATGTGGGCCAGTCTCTGTGTGTGAGATGGTATCTCGTTGTTGTTTTGATCTGCATCTCCCTGATGATTAGTGATGAGGAGCATTTTTTTCGTGTGTCTTTTGGCCAAAGGCTTTAGGTCAACAGGGTGGGAGGGAGTGGGGGTATAAGGAAGGCGTCAGAAGTAGATGAAGTGCTCGGTAAAACAGCGCAAAGGAACATTCGCACTTTGGTCATTGGGCTTTGAAAATATTGTGCCCCTAAAACATGTCAACTTTTCTACTCTTGTAAATCAACATTGACTTCATTAAAAAAAAATTAAAGGTGCTGTATTAAATCAAAAGTAAGACCTATTTGGGGCTGGAACGATAGCACAGCGGGTAGGGTGTTTGCCTTGCACGCGGTCAACCAGGGTTCGATTCCCAGCATCCCATATGGTCCCCTAAGCACCGCCAGGAGTAATTCCTGAGCAGAGCCAGGAGTAACCCCTGTGCATCGCTTTTGGGTGTGACCCAAAAAGTCAAAAAAAAAGTAAGACCTATTTAAAAGAAGCAAATATCAACTTTGATTTTGGGGGCTCTCACGAGTTAACATAAATGTTATTAAAATTTAATTCAGCGGCAGCTATCAAATTAGTCAAAATCCATTTTGCTTTGTCTTACATTTCTGTGAGATGTGTTTAAGTAAAAAAAAAAAAAAAGACTCCATTGAAACGCCAAAAATGAATTCGCACATTCTGCCCTGTCAAATGAAAACAAAGTTTTTGCAGGTACATCAAGACAAAATTAAGTGTTGCGATCAAATGTCATCCTCGTGCAGGGGAAAGGAGGGTGGGGTGATTACCTAACTGGAACTCACTGTTGTTGTCCTAGCTAGGGTATCTCACTTTGAAATGTCTTCTCTGCTCGTTGTGTTGAACTCTAGAGTTTTAAAAAGGGTGTTTCCGGGCTTGAGAGACCGTACTGAGGTTAAGCCACTTGCATTGCACACAGCTCCAACTGCAAACCTGGTTCAAATCCTCCTATATATAGTCCCCCAAGAACCACAAGATGTGGCCCTCGCATACAGAACCAGGAGTGGGTCCTGAGCTCTGCTGGTTGAGACTAAGATGGAAAAAGGAGCATGTCTGTATTATGGGCGATCTAATTCTGTGTTGTGTGACACCCAAGGTTGTCAACAGTTTCAGTGCAAAAAAATTAAACCGTACTCTACTTTCAGCACTCATCTCCCATCCCAAGCGATCCGCCCTCCAACCATCATTTCCTTCTGCCTTTTTCCCCAGCATGTGACGCTGATTTCCAAGCTGTGGTGTGATCCTCCTGGCACTAATCTCTACTGTACTTAGCTGTTAGTCTCCTATTACAGTACTTTATATTCCTATGAACCAAACATGATGGTTTCTTAGTACCTGTACTGCAAACCATAACACCCAAAAGGAGAGAGAAAGAAAGAGGGAATGTGTCTGCTACAGAGGCCAGATGGGAATGGGGTGGCGGGAGGGATACTGGGAACACTGGTGGTGGAGAATTGGTACTGGTGGAGGGATGGGTGCTTGATCATTATATGGCCTAAATGTAATCATGAAAGTTTATAAGTCTGTAACTATCTCATGGTGGTTCAATTAAAAAAATCAAGCCAATCTATCTGCTTCTCTCAAAATGTTTAACTTTGGATTCATCTTTCTTCTTTGTAGGAAACAAACCTTAGCAAGATAGCCTCTACTGTCTGCAGAGTAACTGCAGGTTTTAGGATATAAACTAAATTGGAGAATCATACCAGTTCTAAGGAACAAACAGGTGTGAACTCACCCTCAGAGTCAGCTAAATGTTTGAGTGCTCCATAAATGTCCAATCTTTACTGCTATTATTGCTGAATTACTGCTCTGAAAAGCTGAATCAAAAAAATCCAAGCACCTAAAATTCAACTCAGAGGTAGAAAATGACTTTAACCTCTGCTTAATGTTTCATTGGATGGGAATGATTTCTGTAAAGGTCTAAATCATGCATCTCAAATTAAACTGTCTAAACATAGGCCAGGAAAGTAACATATACAAGCAAGGTGGCCCTGTGTGAACCTGTGAAAATAGGACGAAGTCACATCTGCTTTCAGAGGATGAGAATATGAGAAGACAGTTAGTTGACTGGAATTCACTGTTATTCTATCCACATGTGATTGCGAGGTCTGGAGGTTTTTAAATTCTATTTAATATGATGATTCTTTATTTAACAACCCTCTAACAATCATTAACAAACAGATTATTTTAATAACCATTGATAAAATATTGATAAATTAATAAATCCATTAATAAACCATAAAATATTAATAAATTAATAAATAATGTCATTTTAGGTGAGGATTTTTGGTGGAGAACTTCCAAGCAGTGCTCAGGGAATCCAGGGGTGCCTTTGGTTATTATGAGGCCAGTCAGAACAACAGTTGAATGCCGCAGCCTGAAAATTTCAAAGCTCTTCTGATCTTCCTATGCTGGGGACCACCAGATCTTTCTAGTGTTGCTTGGGATCCACAGAGCAACAGCTGGTGGTGCTTCGGGCCATGCTGGCCACGCTCCGGTCCCGCACACACACAGTGCACATGCCCCTGATTACTGAGCTCTGGCTCCCAGTGCAAGTTTTTCTGATTTTTAAATGTTAGAGACTAACTTGCTTTTTTAAGGAAATACACGGAGGATCTTTAAAAAGATACAGCCACTCAATGCTTCTTTATTCATTTTTTCCTTTTTGGGTCAAACCCAGCAATGCTCAGGGGTTACTCATGGCTTTGCATGCAGGAATTACTCCTGGCAGTGTTCAGGGGACCATACGAGATGCCGGGATTCGAACC